CTAGCCCCCTCTGTCCCTTTGTTGAACTTAGTGTCTTGTTACAGTGTTTGGTGGAAAGCAACCTACGATTGGTGGGGCGGGGCGGGTTTTATTGTAATCTCCATCATTATCATTATTCTGTAAAAGCTATTATCTTCTATGCTACAGTTGCGTTATTTTCTAATAACTTTTTCTAGCACATCGATCCATTTCTAGATTTATTGAATTACATTGAAACGACCTCACGGGATCAATAGAGTACGTACCATTCATTAAAAACATGTTGCAATAAACCCGCGAAACAAATCATGATAAACAAGTTTAGTAAGCCCGATGCGGCCGCTCGATGGAGCGACCGCACTGTACGACCCTTTGAACTAAGTATGGTGCGGCCGTTCTGCTCACAAAACAGACTTATGGAGTGGTCCGCATCGCCGTCACTATTTATAAGTTTAACTCATACTTTCCGCCGCCGCTCATCGGTTTTTAGGGGCGGTGCACGTCTCTGATACATAGATAAAATGATATTTGTGGATACCTAAGACATCCATTCTCTTGACTAAAAATTCTTTTTTTTATTCGATCATGATTTATGAAACTTGTAGATTACTTTCTGCGTAAATAATAATCTTTTTTAAAGTTTTGCATAGTAGAAAAGTTTAAGACAAAAAATTGCTTTACATTGTCCAAAACAAAAACCTACAAAATATTTAAGAATTAATCAAAATACTCAATAAAACTATTAAAAGCAACATATCTTCGATAAAACGCTTTAACAAAAGCTAACTCCGAAATTTTTGTGAACAAAAAAACACAGAACTTCACGTTTTTCAATACTTCATTCCAGTATTCAGAAGGAAATATTTCAATATCAAGTATCGTTATCAAAGGTATGCTCATACTTCTCATATATTTGAAAAACAATATGTAATTATACATAATGACTAAATCAAAATTCATTGAATCATTTCTTAAGACGTTTACAATATTCTGTGTTACATATTTTCTTCATTCATATGATTTAGTTCCGCAAAAATTCAATAATGTACGACATTCATAAAACCAATTTCATTTTTATAACAGAAAGACAAGCATTATTGTAAGTACACATATGAAATTCTTTTTTTTGTCCTTCATTCTCCTTACCTGTCAGCAATAAATAGTACACGTGCCTCAGAACTTCGCAGGTAAAATAAGTAAGTGATTTGTTTTCTTTCTAAATCAACACATTAAATAATAGTCAGTTTATAATAATTTTGGTACAAAAACAGATTATTCAAATAACAATACTTGACAAAGAATACCAACAGATATGGCTACGTCGAACAATCATGCAGATCACGGTAAAATTATGTATCTTCTTCTTTTATGATTGGACACTAATATGCACGGTGGCGGTAATGAGAAAGCAAAACAAAAGTTTGGTCAGAATTTCGGTCAATGCAGGTTTTTCACCTCTTCAGATGACTGCAAAAATTTTCTTAAGCACAATGATTACAGCACAAATCTTATGTTTATTGTTAGTGGTCGACTTGGTAAAGTACTAGTTCCATTAAGTCATGATCGCTCAAATATTTCGTCGATTTATGTTTATTGTACTAGGACGGAAGAACATAAAAAATGGATTAAAGAAATTCAGAAAGTAAAATATTTTTCTTATATATTATTTGTATTTATAATCGCATAATTCATTTAGGTCAAAGCTATCACTAATGATCTTGATGATTTAATAACTAAAATCAAAGCGGATCACAAAAATACATAAACATATATAAGTTTTGGCTGTTTAATTGAAGTTTTCGAAAGTAATGTTATTACTTTTTACTTGCTATCAATCGTTTTGTAACAACAAAATCTTGAGGTGTGATGCACAGGTGTGCAGGGTAAGCTTTTTCGTATCCTGACTAACGATGGAAGATCCTGTTTCTTCAACTGATTGAACCCTTTTGAAATGGAAGTATGTGCATCATATACACTCTAATGGATTATGAATACTTCCGAAAAGAATTCAATTCCATAGGTTATTGTTGCCGATATATTGTATTTTTACAGTATTTTCCACTACGATGCCATGGTTGTTCTAAGAAACATCAGAAAAACTTATTTTCGGATTTCGACTTCAAATTTTGCATAAAAACAAATCTTAACGAGAATAGTTTAATTCGATGTAAGCATGTATTTTTGTTGCTCCTATTCTAAGATACAGGTATTGTAACGCATGTTGTTTACATTGCTTATATATATCTACAGGTTCGATATTCCTATTATCAGAACAAGAACAAATCAAATGGTTTGATACTTTCACGATTGACTACTCTCGTTACGGCTTGTTTCTATGTAAAGTTTCAAATTGAAATTTGAAAATCAGTTTTTCTAGTGTTCCTAAGGAAATCACGGCATTCTATTGAAAAATATCCTAAAAATGCAATACATCAGTATCAATAAACTATGCACCCGAAGTCTATTTGGGTATTGATGATTCATTAGAGTGTAAATAATGCACATGCTTCCAGCTAAAAAGTAATTGATCAGTTGGCGGACCACTCTCGTAAGAAAAGTTTTCTATCTCTTACCCTCTCCTATCGTGTAGGGTAGAATAACCCTGCACAACTCTCGCATAAAGAAAATTAACTTTATTTGCACGAATGAACTTGTTTAAAACACATATATGAGACGTTTTGAAAGTACTTGCTATGAATGTCTAAGATTTCTGCTGATTTTCATATGAACTAATGTAGTTAATCAATGAACATGAGTAAATTTGTACAGTTATTGAAAATATTACACCTTATAATCTATAAAATATCCTGTAGGAAAAACTCTGAAAAAACATCTCAATGAGCTGGACTAGGTCGAAGAAAGCTGACGCATATGTTTTAAATGGCTTACCCATGAGTCATTCGTCTAATGGCATTGAATAAATTTTTAACATATGAATGAGCAAATATATTTGATAACTTGTAATATCTTGAATTCTTTCGAATTCACTAGTAGTTTCTGTTTTTTTTATTTGAAAAACCAAACATTTTCCAACATAAAGATATCTTTACTTGGTCATTGTCAACAACAGCATAAGTCGATGATTGTTCTTTGAAAAAGAAATTTGATCTGTTTGAATGTAACCTTTTTTTTGTGTGTGATGATGAATCAGCCCTGGTAGTTGGAAAAAAAAAGTATTAACAAAAATTTATGATTTAGAAGGTTCAATATGAATAAAATTAGAATTAGAAAAAGTTATTTATGAAGAACAAAGTTGATCTAGACAAAGAAACTTTTTTTGAATATAAAGAAAGTCTTTATTAACCCTTTACCCCCCATAGCGGTTCCAGAAGAGCTACCGATGAAATAACTTTATGAATAGAGTATTAGCCTGTCAAATATGCCAATGGTGTGGCCTAATCCACAGAATGTCCTGTTCCTGGAGTAGGGCGGTTTGACTGATGTAAAAATCATGTGGTGGAAAATGGGAATTGAACAGTATCATAAGACTTAATTCTTTTTCTTTGACCACATTATTGACTGGACAGAAGCAGGATCTATCTCATACTGTTGAAGTGNATGTACTTCGTAGTAGTCATTTACTCATTTCTCTCTTCTTTTATATCTACTGCTCTATCTAATGGATTTATTATCGAATTGATTATTTATACTGAGTCGCCATTACTATTGTCAAAAAAATAAAATAAATGGCGACACATTGCATAAAAAACTGACCGGGACCAATATGAAAAATTTGTAGTCCCGGTCCCGGTCCCGCAAAAAAGACAAATTTTGGTCCCGGTCCCGGGACCACTTTGCAGTTCCCTACGTGTAACACGAGGTGTAAATGAAGATGATTTTTCTCGTTTATCACAAGATCCTAATAAATGTCTTTCATGGATAATTGATCCTGAAACACTTTGTAATTTGCTTGGAATGTCTCATTTAGATACGTATGTTAATTAATTCAGCATATACTATTGATTGGATTCGTTATGAATTAAATGCGAATAGAAAATTTAAATTAATTATTTTTTCTGTTTCATCCGATGAAGTTAAATTAGCAACATGGGATAATATATTTGAATTACTAACAAAACTTTATCCAGAAATTGATTCAAATATTTGGTTTCGTTATTCGAAACAATTAAAAGAAATGACATTTCAACAAATTGATCCTGAAGAAATAATTGTTAAAAATAATTATTTAGGACCTGATTCAGATGGATATATACATAAAAAACGTTTTTTAACTTTAAAAAATCCACCAACATTGTTACAAGTTCGAGAATTTTTACATAATCATATTGGTCTTAATGAATTATTTCAAGGAAATGGACGAACAATAACACATGAAGGAATTTTGTCAGATAAAAGAATATTTAACAAATAATCGATTGTTGCATGAGTTTAATCAATATGCTTTATTAGATCTTAATCGTATTCTTCCATAATTAATATTTGCTTAAAATTTTTCGTTTTTAGATCAGGAAAATATTCTTCCATTTTTTATCTCTGATAATTGTTCATTTCATAATCGATGTAATGAACAACATTATCAATGAACTTTTATATATTTTTTATATTATCGTTTTAAAATTTTATTATCATAATTAATAATAAAATTATTCTTCTTATAAACTTTTAAGATTTACTAAAGATATACATTAACTTTAGCTACTGCAATATCATTAAGACAAACTTTACTTTTATTTCATTTTTTTTTATCTATTCTCTATCAATTTATGAAAAACAGAATCTTCCAGAAGTCCAATCGAAAGAAAAATATCCATAGTTTTTCAGCAATTCAGATCAATTTACATGCGTTTTTAGTAATTAAATAGTCTAGTATTCAACATTTCATTGAATCTACTTTCAATCAAATGTCTATGTCTATTAATATTATAATCAGAATAATTTTAGTAATAGTCAGATATGATTTTAGATCTGATTTGCATTAAGCGTCGGGTCTGAATAAAAAAAGAGCTGACATCAACCTAACCGGATACAACAATGTTTTGGCTATAATATAGCTTTCGATTGACTTCTTTTTGTAAGAGGAGCTAATAAATAGCTGAGATCTAGTTCCTTCTTTTGATCATATACACCAGAGATATCCATGTAGGCGTCGCTGACGCGAAAGATGTTTCAAAAATTTCTATCACAATAGTGGCAAGTTCTTTTTTTAGGGAGACCATCGAATTGCATGAATTTGCAGCCGATTTCAGTTTCTACAATTTCAACAGTTAGAATCATGATAAATTTCATGGATTCAATCTAACTGTACGAATTTAGCATAGTGACAAAAGCGATTTTCGAAGAGTTTCTTGAAAATCATCGTAATAACGGTAGATTTTCAGCCGCAATGGATATCCATAATGTACACATAAAGGTGTAGCAAACATGAAGGTCTTAGGACTTGGTACAATATAAATTTGGATTGGAATTTAGATTTAGATTTCGCCTTAGACTTGACCCCTAATATTTGAATCCGATTTTAAATAATCCAAATCACTTGGCTTTGGTTATATAATATGTAGGAATTTCGGGAGAAAAGTTTCTACATGCATTTCGAATCTATTGCGGATTTGTTGCATCTCTTTCTACGCAAAACATACCAAATATTGACATAAAAGAAACATCCACAAAAACATCGTCCTGTAGTTCCTTATTCATCTTTAGTATCGATGAGCAGTATGTAAATGATCACTCTTTTGAAATGCTCAGAATGTTAAACAAAATTTTAAAATTGACAGTGAATCCATTTTACACAGATTAGAAATATTGTTCTATGTAATTATTTGTATCAAATAATATGTAAATTCCATTTTATTCGTTCAGATTGATCTAAACGAAAGAAAAAAATTCATTTGTATAAATAATACTTACTATTGATGTTGTTGTAAAAATAAACCTAAAGAAAAAAACCTATTGAAATGAATAACACTTGTATCTTCTTTTGCTATCGAAATTGATCTATATAAAAGAAAAAAAAGTTTATTTTTATAAAGTTATATTTACTGTTGAAATTCGTCACAAAAGAGTCTCTTAACCACAATCATCTAAATTATTTTGATTCATTGTCAAAACGCACACGATTTTGACGATGTAGGTATCCACAATTATGATACTACTTAACGCAACAGATTGGATTTTAGAAGCAAAAAGACATAAAGTTTATCCTAAATCGCTTGATTCACTTGTTTGTTTATGGATAATTATTTAAAAAACTCTCATTTTTCTTTTGTTACTGTTTATGGAAGAAACTAAATAGAATAATTTTTCATCTGAAATAAAAGTTTGATAACCGTAATGTAACTGTGAAAGTATCTGCCAGATGTTGATTAGTTTTGGTCATGTACTGGAAACAACTAGAGGTGTAAGCCGAAGGGTCAAACGGCGGCGGCTGTTTTAATGGTCCAATTTTTTTTCCATGGCGGCGGCGCCTACTAGACTCTATGCTTTTCTAAACCGGCGGCGGCGGCTACTATACTTTATGTTTTTCTGCACCGGCGGTGGCTTTGACAACGAAAACAAACAAAAAAAATGTTTTTGCTCCTAAAAATGTGAGTGGCGGCGGCGCATCGTACTATTATCAAAAATTTTCGTTCGTGGCGGTGGCGCAACGGCTGAACTAGTTTTTCACAGCGGCGGCGCCTAAAAAACTCTTAAAACTATCTCCGATTCCGTGGCGGCGGCGACCCAGCTGGATGGCTTACACCTCTAGAAACAATTATTCAGATTTGGGTACAAGATGGCAGAGTTTGGCTGCGAAAAATCGTAATCGTGCAGAACTCTATTTAAAACCATGATCGAACACAATAAATGTACAAATATCGAATTTCAATCATGGCTATATCATTTTGATACTATTATTAGAATTAATTCAGAAGATAATATAAAATCTTCCATTCCATTCTGATTCACTCGTTTAGAATGGCAGTTTTTAAATATTTGTCAAACATAATTACAAATGGTATATTACACAACGAGAAAGTTCAACTCTATCTATATTTTATAGATAAGCATAGATATTTATATTAATGTCTGAAAATTTTATTAACTTCCTTGATGACGACTGTCAATATAGAAAAGAAATTTTCGTTTTATTGCTTAAATGATTGTATTATCTTTCATATTGAAATTTATCAAATATTGTACTGTTAAGTATCTTAAAAGGATAAATGTTAATTATATCACGAATCTCCTATTATTAGTTTTAATTAAATTTAATTCGATGTACTCTTACTATTATTAAATCAAATAAGATTAATTATATTGTTTATCTTTTCTGAAAGAAGTTTTTATTTATTTTTTTAATATAAAGTTCAAGCATTTTCATATAAAGTATCTTGTGGAGCTGTTTTGGAATAGATAGTTGGCTTGAATGATGAGTACATGTTAGATCTTGATTCTGGATGTTGATCATTATACATATTCATTGGTACATCATAGACATTCATATGACGATGACGTTGGTGCGATGATTTATTCCTCTTTAGAAGTTTGCAACTTATAATCACAAGAAAAATGATGATAGCAATGCCCACTAAAGATCCGATTACAATACCAACGATGGCACCAGCGTTAGTCACTGAACTATTTGAATTATAGGAGGTGCATTCATGGTGGCCTGACATCGACGAAGAATAACGACATGATGTGCTACCCATTAGTTAAGAAATATGTTGCCCTATTGAAAAATTTATCTCATAAGAAGAAAAGATACGCTTATGTTCTCCAAATAAACGATTCAAACTAATAAAATCTCCAGTAATTTAATGTTATTTGCTTTGTGATCTAAAATATATTATTATGAATACTGAGAAAGAAAGAAAGAAAGAAAGAAAGAAGGAAAGAAATTTTTCATCATTGTTTAAAAATAATAACAAGCATAAATATTTTATTGTTTTTTCTCTTCGTAAGTACACATTAAGTAATCATTCAAAAAATAGAAATTTCCAACAGTCTGAAATGAAGTTTTTTTGTTCTAGTAGAATGACTCATTATTCGTCGCAACAATCTTTAAAATATGAATGATACATATTTCTGTAACAAACATAATGTTGCTGAAAATATTACAGATAAAATCAAAATAAGATAGCCAATTTCAAGCTAATAACTGGAATTGTATTAGATCGCCCGCTATGTTATTCTTCTTGTAAGGTATAGATCTGATTTCTTCAACCTGTCATGTTAGTATATAATGAACTGAAACTAAATGTAAAAAATTCTCCGCTAAACGGTCAAAACTTCAGAAATGAATCTCAAACTTGAAAATAATGGTTAAAGAAATGCTGCAGAAAACTGAAATGATTATAATAAAACAAAACGATTCCAACAACACGACCATGTAGATGTTTGTTTTCGACGAACTAAAGAAAGAGCTGAAATATATGATTAATATAAAATAAAACTAACACATATTTGATGAAGAAAAAAAATTTTTCACAGTCTCCATCCAAAATTTTCTTTTTCTTCCTTCAATCTCAAAAAGAAATTTGACGTGCAGTTGAAAAAAAGAACACTCAACCATTGCTATCGAATTTTTTCTTGGACGCTGTACATTATGTCAATATAGTAATGAAATGTTTTCCAACTATTGTTACTATATTATTTCTTCTCCTCGCTATAAAGTATTGCTGTATTAACCACCAAAGTGCAAAATGGATTGCTCGATCTGATACAGCCATGTTTGGTTCATAAAAGATTTTTCTCCGGCTAAGAGAGCTGATACACAAAAATCACTGGATTGGACGAGTCAATTTTTTGTACGGGTGGTCTAGTCCGATGTTTTTATCACGTTTTTGTTAGTATTCCTAATACTAGTGTTCTACTGCAAATACGAATGTATACTGTAACTTAAATTTTCTCAAGAGAAAAATGTATTTTGTTAGTTTTACTAGACTTCACAACACTGCATGAAGATGAGAATATATGGTCTACCCGAAAAACTATCCTTCTCTCCTTAGAAAAAATAAGTTATAATGTACTTTTGTATTCACAGTGGTGCACCAGCGATATGAATACCACATGCAGCTTTCTTCATTGTATAAACTATGTTATTTAGTGTTAGGATGTCATTGATAGAAAAAATACACTAAAAATGAATCATTGTTGATAGGAAGAACTATATATTACAGTTTATCCAACTCTTCAACTTTGACTGACGAATGAATCCATAGGAAATGTACTATATTGTGCGAAAAGGACAATTTTATGAGTTTTGCGCTATTTTTCTGAGAAAAAGTTTTTTTATCGATTTTCACCATCCAATAAGGTAACACGAAGTCGAAAATAGTCTGTATAATGGAAAGAAAAAAATTCATAACTCATGTATGAAAATTCAGTTCATTCTTTTTGGTGCAACGCGATTTTTATGCATCATTGTGGAACTTATAGTAGCTACTAAAAATTCGGCTGATATATGTACAATGCAAATATATTCCTAAAGAATGAGCTAAATCCATTACTGAATTCAAATACCTTCCAACATTATTATTTTGTTTATTTAACTCTACAAGCAGTTCAACTTATCTCATAATGATTTCAATTCAATTTCGAGAACCTGATCTAATCAAATTCATCATAACATTGACCATTTTCTTCCTAGAATATTTTTAATCATCAAAGCGATCTTAGAATTCTATTGAAAAAAATATCTTTGTAAACAAAACTTTCTGCGGATCCGAGCTATGAGAAAGTGGCTCGTTTCAGACCTCAATACATGAAATAAAATATTTTTTTTTCGATAATAAAAAGTGCTATAGATCACTTTTCACAAAAGATTCATCACGAAATTCCTGCTGAATGAATTATTATATGAGACGTGATGGACCTAAATTTCTTATAAATAAAATTTCTTATGAATTTTTAAAATTTACCATGAAAAGGAGATAGTAATCGCAATATCTGACAATGTGAAAAGCTAGCGATGAACTACAGGTATCATACCATAACTCGTCTTCCTCTGTCTTTTTCATACAGCAGTTCATTTTTCTCGCTAGAAAATTGAACATTTATCAATAATTATGCTTGCCATTACAAAATTGATGATGGTTGTCTGAAAGAATCATAAAAAAAAAATTTTAACTGAGTCTTTGCATTGTATAGATATTTATTGTCAACAGTAGCAAATATTCAGCATACTTGGTCATCGATTGACATATATTAATATTTTGCTAGGAAGTATTGAGAAAAGCACTCAACAACGCACCATAATGAATCAAAACAAACAAATAAAAAAAAAAGTTTTTTTCCAAGGAAGAAGAAACTAAAACATTGTTTTCATTGGCTTTATTCATGATTCGCCGTTGTTCTTTTATTTGTATATTGAAATAAATTCCAATTGATCATATATAAAATTTCATTCGTCTCCTTAGTTACTTGATTTTTTGTTGACCTACGTCCTTTTCTCTTAATAGAATTCTTTTTAAAGAGACATTTATAATAACACATCAGAATACTTTACTTTCATTTAATTTTCGATCAGAAAAAAAAAATGGTTCGTATGAATAAAATATTTTTCCTTTGCTTTACAATATTATTGACGATCTTTGGTGTTCATACGTCTACTACTACATTGATATCTTCTGTCAATTCAGATAACAACACAACCGGAAATAATACTAGCAATGCACGACTTTTGAATAATAATCATGGTACGTTTTTATTTCATTGATCTCAAATATAAATTCTCGAAAAATAAATAATTTTGAATGTTAAGAATAAAAATTAGAAAAAAAAAAAGAAAAAAATTTAATTGTTTATTTATTTCTAAGAATAAATTTTATTCCTAATTAAATATAATTTTTTGAAACTTTTCTTTTATCTATGATACAAAATAATTTTAGTGACAATCGCAACAGCTACTGGTTGTTTTTCATCAGATACATTAGTTACATTAGTTAATCAACAACAAATTTTAATAGGAAAACTTCAAGTTGGTGATAAATTACTTAGCATTGATGGAACTAAAATTGTTTCTACTGAAATGATGATGATGCTTGATCAAAATAAATTTTCATCAGGTTATATTATCATTTATATTATTATATAATTGATAAATCTTCTTTTCTATAGCAATGTTTCATACTATTGTTACTGAATCGCAACATAAAATAAGTCTTACAAGTTATCATTTAATATCAACGATAAATAACAATGGAGATATTATCTATATACCAGCAAAAGATATTAAACATGGAGATTTTATTCGTGTTGTCACAAATCAACAAATTTATTCATCATCTGTTATTAATATAACAATTGAAATGAAAAATGGATATTATGCTCCATTAACTATAATTGGTAAGAATAAATATATTTCATTGAATAAAATTCATAATTTATTTTTATTTTTTTCTTTTAGGTAAATTGTTAGTAAATAATATTGATGCAAGTTGTTATTCAAATGTTAAAAATCATAATATTATACAATTTTTTATGACTCCTTTTATTTGGTATTATAGATTATGTCGATTATTCTCTATTGAAAAACCATTTGGTGATCAAACTATTGATGGAATACATTATATACCACAGATTTTATATGAGATAGTTCAATCAATTTATCCGTCGATTTTGCATTTCACTTAAATAACTAGGAATGTAACAATACTAATAGAGTGTTGCTTTTTTTTGTTATTATTGGTTTTTATGTGAAAACTATAATTGGTAGGGTTTAATCAATTATCATGTAAGGGATAATGAAAAATGTTTATAAGTTTAATTTTTTCTTCAGAAAAAGTCTATTCTTCACAATAATAATTTTTGTAAGAAGTTTGATCAAAGTTTTTCAGGATTAAGAAATCTGAATCTATAATGAGTTTAAGGACAAAACTAAAACTTAACTACTTTGAGAAATCTATTATAGATTCAGATTTTTTTGACCTCGAAAGATTTCGATCCGACTTTACAAGAAATAGTTGTTTTATAATAGTAGAACTTTCTCTGACGGAAATTACAATATTTTTGATTTCCATTCCTAGCTAACTGACTAATAGCTACCAATATTGGTATTGTTACGTTCCTATAAAAATAAGCGTAAAATAAAGTTATCACATTTTATATTTTTGCTATATAGTTGCCTTTACATTCACACAATACTTATTTTTATGGCTGATTTGATATGATTCACTTATGAACGTTTTCAATGTGTTTTTTATTTTCTTGTATGGTCAAAATGTAGTTTTGCTAAAATTTCTATAATGTATATGACAATTACGAGATCTCGACTGAACTAAATGTTGAATGCGAACACCACCATCCGGACTTTTACAATAAAACTTAATCTTGTAACTGTTCGATCTTAGTATAAGTCGTATAAATAATTTTTTCGTCTTACAAAATCTTATAAAAAAAGTCTAAATTGATAATAGTATTATCTTTCGATGAGAAACAACTTTTATATACATATGAACACTTATATTTGAAAGTATTTGACAAACGAGATCATGAAATTGTATCTTTGCTTCAATCCTACTTTTTGCGACATCTTTACGTTTTGTTTTTCATTCATATAACCATTGACTTATATAAATATATTTTACTAGAGAAAAAAAGAAAAAATAATAATAAAAAATATGTAGTTATTGCACAAAAAATAGAAATATGATGTAGTTGATTGTATGATGAAAGCATCATTCCTGAAACAATCAAACACATTCATCATTATTATTATGAAGAGCAATTGAGTATGACTCTTTGTGACATGTTGTGATATTCAGAGTTAAATATCTTCCTTCTATTTTATGTAAAAAATCGTCTTTCTCTGACTAATTCATAAATTGAAAGTTTTGAAAGATGATTCCACTGTGAGCATATAATCTCATATTGAAGTTCTCCCTAAAAAAAAGTCAATTTTCGTCAAAAACATGAAACTTGAGATGAATCTATGGAACGATAGTTTGATATATGATCTTTCATAAATGATACAATTTTTTTTTTCGGCATTTCACTTTACTCAGAGATTTCTCTCATTTTCTGCTTGAAAGGAATGCGTGTTTTTGGAGATAAGCGGAAAACTTATTTTTTCGCTTTTTCTCTGTTGATGCTTTTTTTATCACGTATCCCAGAATTCTCGAAGGAGCTTCATTAAGCACAATGATTTTTTCCGAACAAGCATTCAAAAATTCAGGGCATGACAGAGTCCTTTTTGTTTTTTAGTTAAGCTTTTTTTACTATTATATAAAAGATTACTATTATAATTAGAGCGTTACTTTTTGAGAATTCTTAAAAGTAAAAGTTTGAAAAAAAGACTGTTTCATACTTAGCATTTTGACATACTCTTTTAAACAAAAAGAAATAATTAGTATAGAGAATAAAGGCTTACAGAAAACTTGCGATTCCCAATTGAACTATTTTTTACTCTTAATTGTTGCATATCTCTCGAAAAAGTCATGACATATGGCTGAAGATTTTAGCATAGGCTCTTGAGTACAGCCCCAACATATTCTAAAAATTTCATACAATTTGAATATAACTGATCCAAGATTGACTTGTGAGGAGGAGGAGGAATAGTCTTAACTTCAGTTCATATCAGAAATGGATCGATCGAGAAAACCAGAGGCTTAGACAGCAACTTATTATTGATATACAACATATTAGAATGAAAAGAAGATAAAGAGAATTGGATACAAAAATGAAGAATTGAAACTATTGTTCCAACTCAATAGATATAGTATTCTAGTAATTTCGGGTTCCGAAATTTCGCTAATGTGACTGTGAGTTAGATATAAGTAAAAAAAAATCCAATCGACTGTATTAATGAGAGTAAGCTATGATATATATATATATATATTCTAACAATATTAGTAGTAGCTTTCACATTTATCCTATGTTAATATTGTTTTTGTAAAAGTTTGAGAAAGAACAGTCTACTTTCGCTATTGACGAAATTCTGATTATTCAGTAATTCTCTAATTTTCATTTTCACTTTCATAAAAAGAAAAGTAAATTTCAAGATAAAGATATAGTTGCATGTCTCGACGTGAGTTATGCAGTTTTCGATGGGATGGCACACAATGGGCAACCGTTACCACATCATTTCATCTTGAATTTCTATCTAAATTATCTGTTACAAATCAACCAAATACAATATCAACTGTTCGTGTGGCAACATTTAATATACTTGCAGATTGCTTTCCGTGGTTTATTGAAATGGCAATACGCAGTTCTGAAAGGTTCGAATGGTTATGTAATAGTATCACAAATCTTAATCCTACTATTATTGGCTTAAATGAAGTCACGGCTACTGCCCTAAAGCAGTTGCAACAGTGTTCATTTATTCGCGAAAACTATTTTATCACCGAATCATTTGATGAAAATAAACACGATGATACTGCTGAAGTCAAAGGTTGCAGAAATGGCCTTCTTTCCATACATGGATGTGTCATTCTAAGTAAACTACCATTGATTGAAGTGTTCGCAATTTCTGTTTCGGAAAGTATTCGTGAAGCCGTTGTTGGAAAAGTTCAACTTGGAAGTAATTTAGAAAGTTGTGTCTATTTTTGTGCTCATCATACTACTGCATATCAAACACCGAAAAATGCTCAATTACGAGCACAACAGATACGTGATATTATTGATGTATTGCATCCTATTGGTCTTCCATTTGTCATTATGGGTGATCTCAATCTTCATTATGATTTTGAAGATGCCATAGTCATCAATAATAAATTAATCGATGCATGGGCTCAAACACATTTTTCTCATATTCATCCATTCAATGATGAAAATCAAGGTTATACATTTGATGCAGTAAAAAATAATCTAATTCCTTACTATATTCCTGGAGAACGTAGACAAATGCGGCTTGATCGAATTCTCTTTTCACGTGGATTTCCTGCATTCGCAATAACACCTTGTGCTATGTGGGCAAATGAACCTATTAACTCTGGTAATTATCTTTTTCCAAGCGATCACTTTGGACTGTTTATTGACATTGTTACTGATGTAGTAAACGATAGTAACGAACTTATGTCAGTTGGTGAACCTGATCCATCTGCTGAAGAAATTCTTTTTCGTCATGCCGAGAACAGCAAAGACCAACGAGCATATCATCTTGGATTAGTAAGGACTACAGGAGCATTGATATCTCATATATTTTGGCTTGGAGCGGTTGCTCTTGGCCTCAAGTAGAAGATCCTAGATAGTTTCAAATGAATTCAATTCATTTTTTAGACTTTTATGAACTATGAATACATAAAAGTATGTTTTGTTTTTTATTAATTTATTAATATATTTACAACAATCTTGATTATGTCAACTGTTGTCTTGATTTTGATTTTCAATATACGCTGATAGAAAATACTACTATATCTAAGTTTTATTCACTTATGGTAGTATGTGTTTCTTTTATGTTTAAATCAGAACTGTTTTGTTTATCAGCAAACACTGTTTACAAGATCGATTGTTGAAGAGGACAATTACCATTACCAATTAGCCGGTAACGCAAAATTCTCAGATTTTAACCTTTCGTCAAGGAAAGGCTCTCTTGTGAAAGAACCTATTTTCTTATAAAGTTTGACCGAAGGTTTTCAGAGTCGAAGAATCTGAATTTTATTTAAAAAAAAATCCTTATTTTCTCAAAAATATGTTTTTCTTGACGAAAGAATCAAATTCAGGAATTATCTGCTACTTCGTTACTCAATAACTGGTAACGTAACTGTTTGGTAACGTCTAATTTTCCATCTCTAACTAAGTCCGATCAACTCTAGAAATTGGAATTGGTACATCCATAGCTGAAAAGATAAAGAGCTGAAAACATCAATTAACTGCATTCCATTTTCAGCAAACAATATCACATGAATAACGGAAATTTTTGGAAAAATAATCTCCGACGTAAATAACACTCTTTCTTGTATTTTTGGACTATCTTTAAATATAATTTTGATTCTTTAGTCTCAACCATAAATTGAATAAAAATTATATTTTATTTCACTTTTTTTATGCGTAACAATTGAATATAAGCCATAAAAAACAATACTAAAGCCATTAGTGCTATAGCAAGTAAATTTTTCCACATATCCCAATCAGTATCATGTGCAATATTACGTTCTGTTAATATTTGTTCACCTTGCAATGGACATATTCGAGTATTGTTAGATAAACAAAATGTTAAATTTCGAAATTCATTAATAGTTAATAAATTTGAAGAATAATGAAATGCACTAATCCATTTAATCCATCGAAAAAACGAAAAGACGCTTTCTAGATCAACAAGAAAACCACTAACGACCATTGTTATAGAAAAAATGAGTATAGTCACAGTAATAGCAACAGCTAAAATACAGCACATAATAATATATATTAAAAAAAAACAAAAAAAACGAATATTTTTCTCATACCAAATAGAGGAATACAAGCAGCAACAAAGAAACATACTGCTGAACCATACACGGAAGATACAAATATTGTAACTAAGAAGACAAAAAATCGAACTATTGAACGTTGAAAACCAGTCAAAGGGTAAGTAATTATAGAAAATATAAATGAAGGAATAATACGCATTGGAATTAGATCAAAAACTATTTTAGTTAAAAAAAATGTTGATACTCGATAATAACCACCAACATATTCCTAAAATTAAAAAAAAAAAAACGTTTATTTTTATTTAATTTCATAATTAAATCTTTTACATGACTAAATAATGCTCGTTCTTTAATCAATGATTCTAAAGCACTTGCCGTAGACAATATTTGATGTGTAGATAAAAAGAAAATAGCTCCAAGACGATTTCGTACACCAGGATCAACGGTTGCTTTCATATTATAAAAAAGTAATCCAGTAAGAAGAGCTAATATAATAGAAATCGTAATTTGAGAAGCTGCTAATAATGGATTTCTTATTGCATTTCGAAATGTTCGTTGTGAAAGATAATAAAATTCCATTGTACGAGATCGAAGTACAATCTGTTTTAAGAAAGATAAATCTTCATTGTTATTTTCATTTGTTACAGATTCTATTAAAGATTTGACATTCGAATGCATTTTTGATTGTGAATAAACTGTTTGAAGTATTTTAGATGAACGACCATTGAATTCAATAAGTGTATCAAGAACAAAATCAGCCGGATTTTCATGTTCATTACATTTAAAACCTTGAGAAGTAAAGTAAGGCAAAATATCAATCGGTGAACCAAAATAAATAGTATGACCAGCTGATAGAAAAAGAACAGTATCAAATAATTGGAAGATTGAATAACGAGGCTGATGAATAGAAAAAATAATCGTCCCTAAAAAAAACATAATTTATTATTAAGTTTTGCAACAAATTTTTTTTTTTTCTATATTACTAACGTCCTTGCCGAGATAGATTATATAAACAATCCATAACATTTTGTGCCGTAGATGCATCAAGTCCTATTTGTAGAAATAAGAAAGATTATTAAATAAATCCTAACGATTTACCAGTTGTTGGTTCATCTAAGAAAAGAACTTTGGGTGAAAGAACTAATTCCATTCCAATACTTGTTCTCTTTTTTTCTCCACCAGATACTCCTCTGATAAAATCAGTTCCAATAAAAGTATTAATACATGAATGAAGATCTAAATCATGTATAACTTGATTAACTCGTTCGATTCGTTGTCGAGCAGAAAATGAACGTGGTAGACGAATATTAGCCGAAAACATAAGATTTTCTCGAACAGTTAATGTTTCACTCATAATATCTTGAGAAAAAAAATTTATATAAGAATAATAAACGAATATATTATATCGTACCATCTTGAATAACATAACCAACAGTATATTTGTAATAAGCAGGACGAGATCTTCCCGATAGAAGAACATCTCCAGTTAAGCCATGACTGTCTTTTCGATCGGCAAGAATATCAAGTAAAGTCGATTTACCACAACCTGTTGGTCCTATCAATAAAATAATTAATGATCATCAATATTGAACAATTACATTTATATATGGGTCATACCCATTTTTTATTTGGCTTCGATTCTTTACCAAAATTACCTTTCTGAACAAATTCTTTTAACATAGACATTCGTAAAACTATTAACTCTTTCAGCCGACTATTAATTAACTACAAGGTAATTAATCGGGTTAATGAAAAAAAGGAGTTTATTAATTAATTAAAAATTAATTAGCAAATATGTCTGTAGTGATATGAAAAAGAAATTCGAAAACGTTAGGATAGACTCGATGAGACGAACTGGGTTCTATGGTAAAATTATCAGTAAGAGCGGATTTAAAGGAAAATTTCTTCTTAAAACTCGTTTGAAATGAGTTTTTAAACTTCTCATTTAGTTATAAAAGAATTTTTTCGTTTTTATATTCGTACTCTATCACGATACTAATGAGAAGTAAATCGATGTAATATTGAGTTTTCAAAAATGTTGCTTCAATTTGAAATTTTTGTTTTCAAGAAATTGAAATGTATTAAGTGATATTTAGTTTCTTATTTTGTGTCACGTCACTAGCGGCAGTTTTTATTGATAATCCGTCCTAACAAAGGTCTCTAGTGGTGTTTTTTGTTTTTGTTTTTCGAGATATCTAAAGTAACTTGACGTACACATAAGATTAAAAAACTGACTATATAAAAGATCATTATTCTGAGATAAACATGTTTTAATTTTGTAAAATCAAATTGCTAACAAATGATTTCGTCTATATATTGATATTTAAAAAAGATGAAATATACCTAAAATAGCATTCATTCCTGGTGTAAAAATTCCTGAAAGGTCAAAAAGAATTTGTTTCTTTGTTGTCTGTTTGTAACATGAAAATATTTGTTGCCACTTATACCATTGTTTAATATTTGTTGTTTGATCTATAGTATAATTAATTTTTTCAAATGATATTGTCATTGTTTTATTTTCATGTTCATCATATAATATAATATCTGTTTGATTGATTTTAGTATTTTTTAAGGACGAAATTGATTGATTATGATTTGAATATGATTTTGATGATTCAATATCAATGACGTCATTATCAGCATGTGTCGATCTTCTAAGTAAAGGACTAATAATATTTTGCTTTTCACCATGTGCATTCATTTTTGTTGTCACTTCGATGGTCAATAATGTTGTTTTTTAACTATCATTTTGTTCCGATATAAATATAAGATAAAAAAAAGAAAATGTGAGATAACAAACAGCGTTTATTTTCTTATCAATAACCTTCGTCGTAAAACGAGACTTTACTATTCACGTATTTGATTATATGATAATCTGAGCTCTATTATTTGTTTGTTTATTACTAGAATGAAGTTTCAATTTTTTTGTCAATTTATGAAATGATCATTTTATTCTTTGTTAGATTTCATCTATAAAGTAATAAATATCTGACTATTATTAAGATAAACATTAAAAAGATTAAAGTCCATAATACAATAGACTATTTTAAAAACTCGAGCATAGAGAAAAGAACATGATCATTTTATACTGATTATTCTTAAAAAAGTATGTAGTAATCTTATTCAATTTTATTTTATATATAACTTTGTTTAATTTGTTTATAGATTGAATTGAAAATAAAACATCATATTGAAGTTTTTGTTTTTTGTTTTTAACAAATTTTTCAATAATGTTAAACATATATATTTGGTTAATGACATAAACTTTTTGTGTTTTCTTTAAAAGTAGTATCTAAGTTACTAAAAGCTTTTATTTTTCCCATTTTCACTATCAAAATAACAAACATAAAACATATGCTTAGGTTTTTTTTCTATCGATTAGAGTGTAAAGAAAAAAGTTGTTTAATTACTTAGTAATAGTCGTTCGATTTGATTATTTATAAAAAGAACTGTTAGCGCATATCTCTGTGAAATAAAATATGATATGGGACTTTTCTATTATTAGAAAATTCAAATGAAATGACTATGAGACAAAGTTTCATGAAAATTTAATTCAGTTCTTCGAGGAATAAGCAGAAGAAAATCGATTTTAATAGAAAAAGTATATAGAAATAATCCTAACTATTCTCAAATGCTTCATTTAGTTACTTGAATATAAGCGCATAAATGATTAGAGCTATAAGGAAATTGTTTTAAACTCTCTTGGAATTCTAAAGTATATTTGAAATTTGACGCTAGTTATCTCACTATGATGTAAATGAAACAAAAGAATTAAATTGATATAAGGATTTTTATGATGATATTAATGTAGCTGCGGCTTTTGTCTTCATCTACATATTCTTGGTAAACCAACTAATCAACCTTTAGAGATATAAACTTTATTCTTATATACTTTTCATATTAAAAGGAATTTCCTAACTCAACCCGACGCTAGATTATCAGTTGTAACGTTTCAATCGAACGTGTAAAAGTCAACTTCAGCTATAAATTAAAGGCATTTAATCAGAGTTGTATTCTTTAGCTTGTATTGTTCATTGGACAATGATGTACATAAATTTGAATTTTCTCTATTTATGAATTTACCGTGATCTGTTATCTCTTCACCATCCTTTTACTTGAATACTTCAGAATTTCAAAACGGAATTAGTTCAAGTACTAGAACGAAACGTTATTGATATAAACGCTACGATAATCTCTGGCTGACGTCTATCATGGTCTACGGGGAGAGAAGGAGAATGGGGGGGGGGGGGGGGGGGGGGGGGTGGATTTGCTCCGAAATAACCTTCCGCCCTCGTTTGTGTCGTGAGCGTCCCAGATCGGCGAGGAGAGGGGCAATCAAGGTTAAAAAA